TTTGAAGCAGGTAGAGCATGCGTTCAGGCAATTAGCGACTAGTGAAGAAACTTTTGGAGAAAACCGGCAGTTTGCTCAGGCAGTGCGAATAGGAAGATAATGCTAACGCACTCAGAATGCGAACCATTTTCAGCACAAAAATTTCAGAATATATTCAAAAAATACCTTCGCAAGAAGCTAAGCAGACTGAAAAAGGGTTACAATAGCTGATGGCAAAAATACGGTGATTTGCAAATCTGCATCGCTTGTTATATAAATAGTAGATAATCAGGAGCGCCTAAGGAAATATTTTTTTTTAGCAGAAATACGCCGAATGCCGAAATAATAATTTTATGAATTTCATGAGAATGCGCTGATTTGTCGGAACCGGGCCTGGATTCGCCATGTCCTACGCTTCGATACCTTTGCAATGACTCTCTCTACTACGATCTGATGACCGAACAGTGCCCGAAAACATGTGGGCGATGCTACCCATGTAAGTACTAAATTAGACAGAATTTTTTAGCAGTACCTCTTTTTCCTGAATGGTTTAGCACACTGTGTGTAATAAAATTACACTTAGCAAATTTACGGTTTCAACTCAATTTGAAATCATCGCTGTACAAAAAAATAATTGAGATTTTTGAAATTCGTATAGCTAACAAAAGATTATGCTTCGTTTCCAGGAGTGGCTAGGTAGCTATAAAATTCGAATTATTGCATTTTGCATAGTGCCATGACAAAAGTTGTTGCAGCCAAGCAAGATAGCGGCGTGCGCCAGAGAGTCCCTTGGATTGAGAGTTTTATGCAGTTCTAGCAAGTGAAGTTAGCAAAAAGCCAGTAGCTCAAGTTCGAACATTTTTTAGTAATTTGAGCTTTTTTACTCATACAAAATTAGTCTGCAAATACCTGTAAAAAATAAATGGTTGAGTATTAGAATTTATGATTATTTTTCTTTATTGAGATTTAATACGGCAGGTTTTTCCAGTTTGTGGCCTCAGTCGTTTTTGTCCGGCAGGATATCATTGCAACGTGAGCAATAACATATGTTATCCAAACGCAGCTGCCGGAGCAGTTAAAAATGCTGTGATTTCAGTAAATCTTCTCAGTATTTTGATTTTCACAACGATGTCACTGGTTTCTAAGAATTAATACTGTAATGCTACAGCATAAATTTCGTTGATCTGTGCTATGATTACGAAAGACACGCCGAGTGCATGTGTTGGATCAGGAGACGAAATGAACGTCAAGATCACCATCAAGACGATGCAGTGCTGGCTAAAACAACTGAAAAATTT